GTTTCCCGTTGGACGAGGAGCTATCGAAAATGTGGGTATATGCAATTCACCGCGAGGATTTTACTCCATCTAAGTTCAGTAGTAAACAGAGCTCAATTTATAATGATAAATTAATAATAGAAGACAATTACTCTCTCATAAAAAGTATAAATAGAAAAGCTTTGATTATGCAGTTAGTTTTGTATTCGTATATTATAGTCAACAAAATCATCTCTGAATTCGAGGAAATTTTCTTGGATGTTCATAATAAACGGGCATTTTTAATTCTCATTCTCAAATTTCTATCTGAAAACGGTCATTTGCCTCGTGGCAATGAATGCAGAATTCATTTCAATGATCAAATTGCAACTATCATATTAACATGAACTACAAACACTCTACTTAAAAAGGTAAAACTGCATTTATCATGATATTTATCATGAAGATATTTTACTAAATTGTTCCAAATTTCACCTTCTTTTTCACCTGTCTTCTGGTTGGCATTTAGAACAAATTTCCCTTCTTTTTTCATCATATTGGACAATTTATATATAATTCAACTATAAATATGATTTTCTTGAGATTAATCCATATTTAGTGAAAAGAAGGAAGAATATCATTCAAAATAATGGCGTGTGTAATGTCATTCGAAAGCAATCTATTGACATTTGACATCTCGTATTTTGATTGACAATTGATTAAATGCTCGTCATCTGGAATGCTTGTTCACTAAATATGAAAAACTCGCCATGAAAATCATATTTCCTGTTGCATTTTCTATATAAAAATGTGCCATCGAAGTACATCATGAGTATATAAAGTGTCCAATGACAAAATAAGAGCAAGTAGCTTCAAATGCCCCCAACACAAGGATAGAAAGAAGGCGAAATTTCGAACTATTTATTGAAATATCTCAATAAATAGTGGTTTGTTCACATTTTCATTATAAAATTCGGTTTATCAGACAAAAATACGTGAGTACCGAAAAAAAAATTAAAAAAAAAAAACCATCGCATGATAAATGCAGTTTTACCCTTAAAAATTACGGTTTCAAGTGTAACGATCCACTTGGGTGAAAAATCCAACAACAGAAAATTGAAAACACTCACTGGTTATTTTTTCAGGTAATAGGAATTCTCCAAGATAAATATAGGTAATTGTAACAAACGGCATGTCAATCAAAATAAAATACATTTTTCACAATTTTCTTTCGATCAATCTCACGATAAGTTTATGTTCTGCGGGCCCTGTATAAGTAGGTGTGGAGTTTACCTTCACCACAATTTTTGCCAATATATTCAATTCGAAACGGTTGCTGTAGGTGGATATTTGTGTTTTATCCTGGTTTTTGCTTTAAAACTTCGTTTTTCCATAATAAAATCGAATGAGGTGCGAAGAAGGGCTCAGTTGACGACTGGCATCCTTTTTTAACCGGAAGCATTTCAAAAAACAGCAAAATCGGCTCAATGATAATCTAAAACTAAAATCGAAATACGCGGTCGCCTTATAGCGCTATAAGCGCTTGTCGTTTCGAGCCGCGGGTAAGGCCTCACTAAGTGACGTCACCCACGGAGCATGCAGGCACGGTCTAACACACAGCACCATTTTCATTCCCCAATCAATTCAATGTGCAGAAATTATAATAAACTTGGACCTGTAGATATATTTTTTCTCACCTCAAAACAATTTAAGCATACCATTTCCAGTTTAGTTCCTAACTAAAATTTCAACTAACTTAGATTATACCTAATTGAAATCACACTCATCCATATGTACAGTAATCTCTATTATATACTCCTATAATTGGGCTTTGGCCTGCTGGATGTATTACGAATTAAATCAATAAATAAGTAAATAATTGAAAAAAGGGCTTTCATAATGACAATATTTCATATTTCAGTTTCACAGAACTAAAATGATTGGAATGTATTGCTAGAGGTGGAAAAAAAATTGAATATACATCTTGTTAGTATAAAATATTATCACCACGGGACCTTGTACCCCTCGGCTGAAGCCTTGGGATATAATCTTGGTCCCTGGGTAATACCTGCATAGGAAATTTACTTCTTGAAGTAATGTGGAACATCTCTATTATCTCCATCTTATTCTATATACGAATCAAATATCTATAATAAGATATGTTTGTACAAGAACAGATATACAATATTGTAGCGGAATTAATTCCGAAACTATTTGTTTATTATAATTCGGAAGACATTGTTTGTTGTCCTATACAGGGTGTTATTTAGGTATGTGGCCAAACTTCAAGAGGTGTTTCTTTGAGTGATACTGAGACGGAAAGTTCATATAAACTTACGTCAGAAAAAGCATAGTTTTCTGATACCTGATGTAGAACTTCCTTGAGAAATTGTTTTTTCGTAAATATCGTGAAAAGTATCTACCCAATTCTCTTAGGATTTGATAGTATCGTTTGTCATATTGAGGCATATGAATTTTTGGCGCAAATAGGTACCTAATTGAATTGTCTGTGTTGTTTTAAAATGTAGCATATTTGATTCCTTGTTCAGTAAGCAAGAGGTTTGTGCAACCGGCATAATAATGCCGAATTCCCACTATATTTTGACCCTTCCATGAAATAATATATAGTATTTGATACAGTCATACATCATTTAAAATCATCACAAATATTGTTTTCAACAATCAAAATAATAACTTCTCAGAAACGCTAGCTCTCTATGACGTGACATACCGATTAGCACTGTTAGTGTTTTACGACTCGAAAACCAATGGAAATATTTCCACATTCTACATAGAAATAAGAATTTACGTCCACAGTAGCAGTTGTACTGAAATACACACAATATATAAGTCGTATCGTATATAATTGCATTGGATTGATCGCGGTATATGACGTCACACGCTGTCCCGCGTTTTTCATGTTATGGAATATCGTGAATTTCAATAATTTTTTTAAAAGGGTAGTGAGCTCTGAATACTGAAATGTTTCACAGAAACAGGCCCATTCTCATAAGATTAGTTCAACATTATAATACGACACAATTACTTAATGAATCCATTCCATTTCAAAGATTTTGAATGTAATTAATTATACAAGGATGTTTTAGTTTTTATCTGCCATACTTCAAAATGTCATATTACTCATCCAATGGCGGCCCTGAAATGAATCTCTAGGAAAGGTGTAATACCTAACATACCTATGATATATTCAATTCGCTCTTCATTTCATTTCAGACTTCAGACCCGACATGACAATCATGTCGTTTAGGTATCTATGGCGACCTTATCAAAATATGCATATATATATATATGTATATACCTACCCCTTGAGGGTACTTACTACAAAGATTGAATTCACTTACTCACATGGCTTTAAGAGGGTTGTTGTTTATTACGTACTATACTTCACCTACTGCCATATAGTACATCAAAAAAGTTTGGACAAACAGTCTGAATTATAATTCTTGACAGTTATGTCATCCGCGGTTGACGGCGATTACGCGATCATGACTGGCGGAATAAACGAAAACTGTGCGATATGCTTACTGTACGTAAAGAGCTACTTACTGAGGCAGTATCTCGTGTGTTCGTGCGTAACTAGGGAGGATAGGGAGAGGAGGCCTAGGTATTGAAATTTTTTGGAACTTTTAGGATTATAAGTCCTTCGGAATACTTTCCTCGAAATAGCGAAGAACCACCATATTGTATCACTAGAATTACATCGGACCCATTTCCTGCAATGCAACAAAAAATTGCGACAGCTGTCCAAAGTACACTAATGCGTATATACAGGGTGTATCAGGCGAATGAAATTGTTTCTCAGAAAGTTCACCGTTTGACCATTATAGCCCGATGCGTTCAGCTTGACTCACCCTGTATAGGCGCGCAATGAAAATTGCTGCAATTTTTTTGGGAAATTGCCAATTATTTTCACCTTTTTTTCTATGAATGAAATTTTATAAAACTGATCTGCTGTTATGCTCGGGGGGTAGTAATTACAGTACCCCCTACCCATTTACCGTAGGACCGCCCTTGTACTCATCAAAATAATAAAAAAGTCCCATAAACGGAGCCGCATCAATAAAGAAAACCACAGACAATCTGCGAACAATATTTTTCCATTTTTATGTTGAAAACGGGAGCAGATTCTTTCACGGCGGAACGTCCAAAATGAAGTGAGATTTTATATTTGCCGTACAGTAATATCACTCGTCCTATCGCACAAAATTTCGTAAACGGCAAAGCGACATAATTATAGCGAGCTGCGTTTTATTTCAGTGCTAGAATTGTCTATGGAGGACGCCTCTAAGGGAATATAATGCCGAATTGATTTTTGTTTGACTAGGCTACGCTTAGTCGGCGGTCTTAAGACTGCTGGCTGCAGACTGGCCTGCACTGATCATAGAACTTGAAATCGGTCTGTAGGTGTCTACCGTGGCCTGGCTAAATCGAAATCAATAGGCATTCAGGAAAGGATCACTTGTATCAGTCGATGCATAGCTTTTGGGAGGATGTAATTCAATGTTCTGAGTTATTTTCGAATGATTTTTTGAATCTCAATGAAATTATTGGCAATCTTCTGGGACCGCTAGGGTATGGAAAATATTCTAATAATATCGTCTAAGTGATGATACAGAAATATACAGGGTGCAGTTTGGAAAAAAAAAGTTGGGTCTACTTCCAATCAAACAGGTGGTTGAAAAAAACTTTCATAGAGTTCAAAATCCATGTCCATGACAGCTTGTTGCATAGTAATTTTGTTTTATATTTTGATCAAACTACCAATGAGAAAGCGAAATACAAAATCAAAAACACAGCATATTTAGGTATCTAGCAGCCAATCTACAACACAAATACAAAAACAATTATCAACACAGATATTTCAACCAATCGAAAACGTGTATTTTGAAATGAGTGAAATAATCATCTGAATCGTTAGTTCTTCGAAATGTTTCTTTTGATCGAATCAAGTATGGCAGACAAAAACCGAACCACCCCGACCGAAACCCCGAGCTTGATACCTTGAAAAGCGTCCCTTTCAGATCGGAGCTGATGGTGAAGAAGCTGCGCTACTACGCCCGCTTCATCGTCGTGTGTCTGCTCTTGCGCCGCATGAAGCTGGTGCGCGAGCTTATAGTGGAGCTGGACAGACACATCGCCGACTATACCAGCACCTACGAGCCAGACGACCAGATCGAATGGAGCCTGGTTTTGGACGAGATCAAGGGCTTCATCCAGTCGGATTCGCTGGTGCAGGTGCTGCACGCCGATACCAATCCCATCGTTCTTTCGCACAGGTAAGTGTGCCAGTAGTGCACCTTTGTCAAAAATTCGCGAAAACGTTCAAAACATAGGTGATGAAACTCCACGTAAGCATCACAAATGCGTCTAGACGTCGTAAATCGCCAAAAAAACTGTGAAAAACATCATTAAATCATCATCATTGCGTTGTTACATCGAACAGCGTCAGAGATACGTGAAAGAACGTCGCGAGAACGTCACAAAACCGACACGCTTGCATCAAAATATCAGAAGGCGGCGATAGAACGTGAACAAAACTCATAGAAGCTTCACACATGCGTTCTTACGTCAAAAAAAGTTGAAAAGAAGTCACTAAAACGTAACACATCGCCGACTATACCAGCACCTACGAGCCAGACGACCAGATCGAGTGGAGCCTGGTCTTGGACGAGATCAAGGAATTGATCCAGTTGGATTCGCTGGTGCCGGTGCTGCACGTCGATACCAATCCCATTGTTCTTTCGCACAGGTAAGTGTGCCAGTAGTGCACCTTTGTCAAAAATTCATGAGAACGCCCAAAACATAGGTGATAAAACTCCACGTAAGCATCACTAATACGTCTAAACGTCGTAAATCGCCAAAAAACTGTGAAAAACATCATTAAATCATCATCATTGCGTTGTAACGTCGAACAGCGTCAGAGATACGTGAAAGAACGTCGCGAGAACGTCACAAAACCGACACGCTTGCATCAAAATATCATAAAACGACGATAAAACGTGAACAAAACTCACAGAAGCTTCACACATGCGTTCTTACGTCAAAAGAAGTTAAGAAGAAGTCACTAAAACGTAACACATCGCCGACTATACCAGCACCTACGAGCCAGACGACCAGATCGAGCGGAGCCTGGTCTTGGACGAGATCAAGGGGTTCATCCAGTCGGATTTGCTGGTGCAGTTGCTGCACGTCGATACCAATCCCATTGTTCTTTCGCACAGGTAAGTGTGCCAGTAGTGCACCTTTGTCAAAAATTCGTGAGAACGCCCAAAACATAGGTGATAAAACTCCACGTAAGCATCACAAATACGTCTAGACGTCGTAAATCGTCAAAAAACTGTGAAAAAACATCATAAAAGCATCACTATTGCGTTGTAACGTCGAACAGCGTCAAAAATACGTGGAAGAACGTCGCGAAAACGTCACAAAACTGACACGCGTGCATCAAAATATCAGAAAGCGACGAGAAGACATGAAAAAACGTCACGAAAGCTTCACACATGCGTTATTACGTCAAGACATTTGAAAAGAAGTCACTAAAACGTAACACATCGCCGACTATACCAGCACCTACGAGCCAGACGACCAGAGCGAGTGGAGCCTGGTCTTGGACGAGATCAAGGGGTTCATCCAGTCGGATTCGCTGGTGCAGGTGCTGCACGCCGATACCAATCCCATCGTTTTTTCGCACAGGTAAGTTTGCCAGTAGTGCACCTTTGTCGAATAATGTCAAAAATTCGTGAAAACGCCCAAAACATTTTATTTTTTTATTTTATTTTTATTTTTATTTTATTTATTTACGGGAAACCCCCATTACAAGTTTGAATACAGTATGAATATAAGAATATAATGAATATAATTAATATACACCATGTCTCAACACATAGGTACTCACTTAACAATTTCGATAAGGAAAAGAGAAGAATAAAACCATGAAACGAAACAATAGGCTATAAGCAATCACGCAAAGACATCTTAAACTTATTGAATGAACATCCTAATACATCTAAATTATTTTGATTTATGAATCTTAATGTCCTTTCTATTGGATTATGCTGTCCATAATTTGTGACATGAAATGGTATTTGAAATAAATATGGAAATCTAAGGACTCTATTTGGGACATTAAACGTAATTAACTCCAGTAGTTCCGGACAGTTCACAGCACCATTCAATAATTTGAAGATAAAACATAAATCTAACTTGAGTCTTCTACTACGCAATGGAATTAGGTTAATTTCGTTCATAATATGCATATATTGATGGTTTTCCCAACGAATGTTCAATTTAAAGGCACAATACCTCAGAAATTTGTTCTGTACTCTCTCCATGGCTATATTATGAACCTGATAAAGAGGAGACCAGACAATAGATGCACAAGTCAGTTTAGAAATGACCAATGACATATAGACCTTCCTTATAGAATCCACTGAGAATTCAGAGCAATTACGAATAATCATTCCTAAAATCTTTGATGATTTCACTGAAATGGTGTTTATGTGATTCACAAATCTCATTTGTTCATCAAAAGTGACCCCTAGATCTAGAACAGTTGGAACGTATCTGAGTGGACTATTGTTTATACTATATACAGTATCAAACTTCTTATAACCCTTGAAAAAGCTAATGAAACAACATTTATTGATATTTAGATGCAGATTATTTTCCAAACACCAATTATTCAATCTGTTTAAATCTTCTTGTAAATTGATTTGGTCAAATTTTGAATTTATTGTTCGAAATAATTTCAAATCGTCAGCAAATAATAGAAACTCGCAGTTCACGAAACATCTACTGATATCATTCACAAAAATGTTGAACAAAAACATAGGTGATAGAACTTCACGTAAGCATTACAAATGTTTCTAGACGTCGTAAATCGTAATGAAACTGTGGAAAAACATCACGAACGCATCATCATTGCGTTGTAACGTCAAACAACGTGAAAAATACGTGGAAGAACGTCGCGAAACCGACACGCTTGCATCAAAATATCAGAAAGCGAAAATAAAACGTGAACAACCTTCACGAAAGCTTCAAACATGCGTTGTTACGTCAAAAAAGTTGAAAAGAAATCACTAAAACGTAACACATCGCCGACTATACCAGCACCTACGAGCCAGAGACGACCAGATAGAGTGGAGCCTGGTCTTGGACGAGATCAAGGGGTTCATCCAGTCCTATTCGCTGGTGCAGGTGCTGCACGCCGATACCAATCCCATCGTTCTTTCGCACAGGTGAGTGTGCCAGTAGTGCACCTTTGTCAAAAATTCGCTAAAACTTCCAAAACATAGGTGATGAAACTCCACTTAAGCATCACAAATGCGTCTAGACGTCGTAAATCGCAAATAAAAACTGTGAAAAATATCATTAAATCATCATCATTGCGTTGTAATGTTGAACAGCGTCAGAGATTCGTGAAAGAACGTCGCGAGAACGTCACAAAACCGACACGCTTGCATCAAAATATCAGAAAGCGACCATAAAACGTGAACAAAACTCACAGAAACTTCACACATGCGTTCTTACGTCAAAAAAAGTTGAAAAGAAGTCACTAAAACGTAACACATCGCCGACTATACCAGCACCTACGAGCCAGACGACCAGATCGAGCGGAGCCTGGTCTTGGACGAGATCAAGGGGTTCATCCAGTCGGATTCGCTGGAGCAGGTGCTGCACGCCGATACCAATCCCATCGTTCTTTCGCACAGGTAAGTGTGCCAGTAGTGCACCTTTGTCAAAAATTCGTCAGAACGCCCAAAACATAGGTGATAAAACCCCACGTAAGCATCACAAATACGTCTAGACCTCGTAAATCGTCAAAAAACTGTGAAAAAACAAGTTGAAAAGAAGTCACTAAAACGTAACACATTGCCGACTATACCAGCACTTACGAGCCAGGCGACCAGATCGAGTGGAGCCTGGTCTTGGACAAGATCAAGGGGTTCATCCAGTCGGATTCGCTGGAGCAGGTGCTGCACACCGATACCAATCCCATCGTTCTTTCGCACAGGTAAGTGTGCCAGTAGTGCACCTTTGTCGAATAATGTTAAAAATTCGTGAAAAACGCCTGAAACATAGGTGATAGAACTTCATGTGAGCATTACAAATGCGTCTAGACGTCGTAAATCGTAATGAAACTGTGGAAAAACATCACGAAAGCATCATCATTGCGTTGTGACGTCGAAAAGCGTCAAAAATACGTGAAAGAACGTCAAAATGTCACAAAAGTGACACGCATGCCGCATGCATCAAAATATCGGAAAGCGACAAGAAAACGTCACGAAAGGTTCACACATGCGTTGAAACGTCAAAAAATTTGAAAAGAAATCACCAAAACGTCACGAAAGCGTCACACATCGGCGACATTACCTAAGGGTTAATTCAGTGGTGAGTGTGCCATAGTGCACCTATGCCGATATTTCGACCCATATCTCCCCCAAGCTGAATATACAAGCTAGCAAACGTCACGGAAGCATCACACTTGCGTTGAAACGTCGAAATGCGTCGAAAAAAGTAGAAAAACTTAACGAAATCGTCATGAAACCGTCACGAAACCGTCACGCATGCACAGAATTATTGGAAAGTGTCAAAAAAAGTGAATTAAATGTCACGGAAGCGTCACGTCGTGAGGTTGGAACGTGTCAGAAATCGATGAAAAAACGCCACGAAATGTAACGCATGCACTTTAACATTGGAAAGCGTCGAAGAGAGTGAAAAGAAGTAATGAAAACGTCACGAAAGCGTCGCGCATTTGTCGAAACATTGGGAAGCATCAAAAAACTTAAATGAACATCACGAAAACTTCACTGAAACATCAAGTATGTATCAAAACTTCAGAAAGCATCAGAAAAAGAGGAAAAATCACGAAACCGTCACGCCTGCGGCATAAACGTTGGAAAGCGTCGAAAAAACGTGAATAGACCTGACGAAAGCGTCGCACATGCATTGTAGCCTTGACAAACGTCGAGAATAAATGAGAAAACGTCACTAAAATATCACGAAAATGCCACGCATGCTTCAAAACGTTAAAAAGTCTCGCTAGTTAGGGAACAACGTCGCAAAAATGGCATAAACACATTGCCGATCATATCAGCACCTACGAGCCAGACGACCAGATCGAGTGGAGCCTGGTCTTGGACGAGATCAAGGTGTTCATCCAGTCGGATTCGCTGGTGCAGGTGCTGAATATGCGAACTCGCAAACGTCATGAAAGCATCACACTTGCGTTGAAACGTCAGAATGCGTCAAAAAAGGTAAAAAAACTCAACGAAATCGTGATGAAAATATCACGAAACCGTCACGCATGCACTGCATCATTGGAAAGGGTTGAAAAAGATGAAAAATTGTGAATTGAACGTCACGAAAGCGTCACGTTGTTGGGTTGAAACGTTGGAAAGCACCAAACGACTTAGGGAGCATCGGAAGAAGTGAAAAATTCTCACGAAAGCGGCATAAACGTCGGGAAGCTTCGAAAAAAATTATGATCGTCACGGAAGCGTCACACATGCGTTTCAAGTTGGTTTCAAGGTAGGAACGTGTCAACAAACTAAAAAACGCCACAAAACCGTATCCTTATACTTTATTAATGAGGTCATAGAATTACCTAGTCAATGATGAAGAGTAAGAACGTAATAAGATGATACAACTGACAACACAAAAACTACTGACCGTTTATCATTAAGGATCACTTGAACCTGTACCGATTTTCGTCATTCTGAAATATAATGATGATCGGAAAACTGCTACTGGGTTTTATTTTATCAAAAATATCAAATCGAATGAAAAAAATCAAATCAGAAATGTACTCTATAGTCTATGTATATATATTATACACACACATATTTATATACATAGTCAATTACATCAATGCTAAAAAAAATATATCTCAATAATAATTGTTATTGCATATTGAATGTATAATGAAATTAGTGTCATTATAAAATTCTTGCAGACAATAGTATGCTTTATATAGTAGAAAGTATGTTTATATAAATACAACCATCCTCCTAAAGTCACCCTGTATAGGTATAGAAAACAAAGTCCTATATTTTCCAGATTGAGTCCTCTGACCACACCACCCGTAGAAAAGTCCCAGTACATGAACCTGACTCTGCAAGAGATCCTGGTAGTGGGCAGTGCGACGGAACAAGTGAAATTCTCCGAGCTCACCATGGACATGTTCAGGATGATCCAGACTCTGGAACGGGAACCCCAGGAAGATTTCAACCACATCTACGACGCGTCGCCTGCTCCTGGCAGAGTTCCATACGGTGTGCCCGGTCAGAAAGGGTAAGACAATCATAATAATTATTTATGGTGAACAATGAACAGTTATTTTTGGATGTATGATGAATTGATATTCATATATTCATGTTCCGAAAGGTTCGTTTCGACAACACCATAAATTAACGGGTTTTTTGAAAAAGGGGTTCCCCGTGCCCTTATGAAAGCGCTACTTAACGAAAATATCAATGAGCAAATAACATTTTCCAATCCGAGTTATGTGACTTCATATGCCCAGTTAAAAAAATAGACTTTCTTTGCATTAAGGTTTCTACAAGCAATTCCAAATCTCTTCTTATATCTACGGTCTATATTTCACCAAGTACAACTTATGATGAATTCTTTGGATCCCTAGAAGACTCAATCGAACTGAACAAGACAATTATCATTGGTGACTTCAACATTAGTGAGCTACAAGAATTCTACGATTTCGGACGCCAAACAAACCTAACTAGTCGCTTTGACAACTACCTAAATTTTTGTGATTCGGCGCAACGCAACACTGTGAGAAACAATAATAATAGGTTGTTGGATTTGGTCATCTCTCCTGCTGAGTCCATATGTGATGTGCAACATGATGTGAATCCGTTAGTTCCTATAGACCTTCATCACCCGGGGCTTTCAGTGCAATTGTCTAATAATATTGGTAATGTAAAGAATTTCGTATCGCCTGTCAAAAGGTATGACTTGAAAAAAATTGATGTTGTAAAGCTTTCTAACCTGCTTAGTGAAATTAACTGGTCCCAAGTATTTCTCCATCACGATGATGATGATATGTGTGCAGTATTCAATGACGTTCTGCAAAACATTATTTTCCTATGTGCTCCGTTGGTTAAATGCAGATCTTGTGAGTTTCCAACGTGGTACAGCAGAGGCCTTATTCATAAAATAAAATCTAAAAGCCATTAGGTATTTGAAAATGTACAAAAAAACTAAATACCTCTTTTACTTAGAACGTGTTGAAAATTTAAGAAAATTCATTAAACAAGTATAACTAATGACTATAAGATGTACGTAGAGAACTCTGAAACAATGCTCAGAAATAATCCTGATGATTTTTGGAACTATATAAACACGAAGAAAAACAAATCACGCATTCCAGGTGAAATGTTACATAACGGTAGCACACTTATTTCTACAACTCTTTTTATAGTTAATGGTTTCGCAACGCACATCACCAGTGTCTATAGCCAGGTGGATGTAAATATGGTACTCTCAAGCGATCACCAATCTGGGTCCTTTACTTTTTCTAATTTTCATAAACGATATATCTGATCATATCCTATCCCAAAAACTTTTATTTGCTGATATGAAGATTTACAGAGAAATTGAAGATGAAATGGATAGCATTGCATTGCAGGAAGACTTGAATTCTCTTAGTCACTTCCAGAACAAACTTCAGTTGAATATTAAAAAATGTAAAGTTATGACATTCACTCGAAAAGTTGTTCCAGTCACCTTCAACTATAAGCTTGATGACAATATTCTAGTGCGAGTCACTGAATCGAAAGACTTAGGAGTCATATTTGATCAAAAACTTACGTTTTCAAATCACATTGGTCATATAATTTCAGCTTCAATGAAAAATTTAGGTTTTCTGATACGAAACTGTAAAGACTTCAAATCATTTGATTCTCTGAAAAGCATATATCTAACGTTAGTCAGAAGTAAGCTTGATTATTGTAGTGTTGATTGAAATCCGTTATGGTAAATATATTTTAAATATTGAGAATGTTCAGAGGAAATTTTTGAAATTTGCATTTTATAAAAGGCATGGTAATTATCCTGTTAGAGGCTATAACTATGACCTACTCCTTAGTGAGTTCAATTTGATATCACTTAAAAAACATCGTGAAATAAGAGACTTATGCTTCATTCACAAAATTATACACAATCAAATAGATTCCTCTACTATCCTATCACAAATGATGTTCAATGTTCCTCGAGCTTCTTCACGTGCTTGTAATACATTTTACTTACCTGTACCTAACACAATTCACAATTTCCACTCGCCTATAACAACAATGTCTAGAAGTGTAAACAATATCTCTACTGTCGATATTTTCTTTTTATCATTTGCACAGTTCAAACGTGTTATTCTTAACTCAGTTCCTAACTGATATTTTGTATAACTTTTTTCTAATCACTTCTAATCACTTAGTTTGTAATTATGTACACCTGTAATTGGGCTCTAGGGCCTGCTGGATGTATAATAATAAATAAATAAATAAATATCAGATAACAACGAAAATAAAAAAAATTCAACTTAAATTACAATTTATTGAATAATTTTTAGTTAAACTTGATAGAAATAGTTAAACAACAAACAATTACATATCAATAAAATATAATGATAGAAAATTAAATCATTTGTTCCTAATATTTATATTGAGGTGAAATACAAATATCATGAGTGGAAATGAAAGACTATCTGACCAATAACAAAACAGCATAAAAACTGACGTACCCATTTATTCGACGTATCGCCAAATGGCGGCCATGACGTTACGTTTGAAATGAACTTTGAAATTCAACGATTTTCAACAGCGCATAGACTGATTATTTAAATAACCTAAGCGTGAGAGAATTGTTGCAAAAATTAATTTAGGATCCTAACGACACAGTAGAGTAAATGAATGCCAATAATTTATTATCGCAGTCCACTCTCCCCAAATACCTCAAAAGTTCAAGAAAAATACCAACACCTACCTGCCCTCCCTATCCTCCCTAGGTACGCACGATGTTCTTCGAACATTATAGGTATTCCTTTTCGTGCGCACCTAGCGATAAAAAAACATTCTTGGTAATAATGTCCATATTTATATACATACCATATGTTTGTGTATTTGTGTTTGCTTTATGCTTCGATATAGTTGGCATAAAAAAAACAAATTTCTCCAATTATTATTATTACATTTTGACTTGTTACCAATTGTATTGTATCTGATATATTTCACCAAGTTCCAAATCAATTTCTCAATATATTTGAATACAGAATTGAATAGCAATACTTATATATTCACAAGTTCTTAAGTGAACCTAAATGAGCTTCTCACTTTATTCACTTCTCTTGTACGCTTTTTGTCAATGCGACTGTACATGTATGTTTCAATGTTTTGAAATTTTATGCATGGAAATGGTGAAGATATACATATTTATTATTATTTGCCACATTCGTATTTTGATAAAAAATCTTAAAAATTTGAGAATAAACGTCATGATTTTGAGATTTTGATGAAATAAAATAGTTGTGGTGCTAATATGTCGTTGTACTAAGCAACACTTTTTGTTCTCAGATATTTCGAAAATGGTGATAGACCATCTAGAAGAGAAAATCCCCACAAGTACCTCTTGTACAAACCGACTTTGAGTCAAGTATTGGTGTTTCTAGCGAGTGGTTTTAAGGAGCTACCGACGAATGGTGCTCTTTTATTATATTTGTCAGCCGATGGATGCTTTTCCACTACAAAACATCCCGAAGACAGTAAGTGAAACCTTTTTTACCGTTATCCTGACGTAGGACAGTTTTTTTAGGAGCACGTAAACATACAACACGGCTCCCTCTACAGTGCATGTCTCCCGTTTTCGTCCATCACGTGACACTGTGAGGTTATGAATGTTTTGTATTTCTTAAAGAAGAATTGAACTTTGCAAGTACACCTCTATGAGTAGGTCATCCGGGAACGTAGTCATTGTTTTTTTCTTCAACCAGCTCAACTTGTTATCGATTTTTTGTTAATATGTTATGAGGAAGGAACATACACCTATATATCAGTTGGTCATCCGGGAACGTAGTTAATTTTTTTTTCAACCAGCTTGAGGAGACATGCGCAGTAGAGGGAGCCGCCGTGTGCAAGAAAGCTATTCGAAACAATCAGTTACCTTATGGAATCTATATTATATATAGGGCCCGTGTACATCAACCAGAACACTGCTACAAACAGGCTGGGGCCGTATTCTCGGCAAGTGAGCTTTTTGACGTATACGCATCAAAATGAATGGTTCATGTACGAGTACAGTGTGTCCAGTTTTCGATGCTTTTGCCTGATATCTCAGTTATCTTTGGAGATAGAACCTTGCGGTTTTCGCGGTCCTCTGCCACTTTTTTGTGAAACTCAAGATGGCCCAATCAGATTTTGCAAGAATGTTTCTGTTTATGAGATACAGGGCGCTTTTGAAAATTTATACTTTTTGGCCCCCCTCTATATCCACGAAGTTTCTCAACAAAAATGTCAAATCAAAATCTCATCGCATAGAGAATTTCACGCATAATCCAGTGGCGCACTTAATTTTTTTTTTCGGGGTATGATTTTGGAGATACGACTCAAACTTATGATTTTTTAAATGGAACACCCTGTATTTCATAAGCTCATTAAATTCCTTATTTTTTGTCTTCAAAATGATATATAACGTATGAATATAAAATTTTCAAAATTGCTCAAAATCACTAAAATATTGAATTTTGATAGTTGTTTATGGATTTCTCTTATAAAAAACGTTCCATTTGAAGAAATATTTCTTTGAATTTTTTCATGGAGAGGTCAAAACCAATATCAACACTTATGAATTAACAAAACACTGAACTTGGGTTCCCCCCTAGCAACAAATAAATACATAGTAATAAAAAGTTCATAATGTAGAATAAGCACCTGATTTAATATTTACTAAAACAATTGAATTCCGGAATTATTCAGTAACTTATTCATAGACATGTTCAAATTGATATCCATTTTCCCTAACATACAGTTGACAAACTTTCTCAATACTTCTTAATACAGTGAGTGGCCCAACATACTTGAAGAACTTTGTGCAACAACAGAGGCAGTTTTCCAGGAATTACAAAGACATCTTTCAAAGATTAATATGTATTGAGGAAGTTTGTGATGGAAAATGGACATCAATTTGAACAATTCAATGAATGAATCACTGAATCATTTCGAAATTCAATTGTTGTAGTAAATATTCAATCAGGTGCTTATTCTTCATTATAAACTTTTTATTTATATATATTTGTGGATATCAGGTATCTTAGTCTTGTGTTTTGCAAGTAAATTAGTGTTGAAATTGTTATTTCCCCCTTCATGGAACAATCAAAGGAAATATTCCTTCAATTGGAAATTTCTTTATATGAAAATCCCTCGAAAAACCCATAGCCCACTATTAAAATTCAATGTTTTAGTGATTTTTGAACATTTTTGAAAATTTTATATTCATACATCATATATCATTTCAAGCGGAAAAAAATAAGGAATTCAATGAGCTTATAAAATACAGGGTGTTCAATTTAAAAAATCATAAGTTTGAGTCGTTTCTTCAAAACCATACCCCGAAAAAAAAATTGTGTGCGCCACTGGATTCTGCATAAAATTCTCTATGGGTTAAGATTTTGTTTTGACATTTTCGCTGATAAACTTCGTAGATATAGAGGGGGTCCAAAAAGTATAAATTTTCAAAATCGCCCTGTATCTCATAAACGGAAACAGTCCTGCAAAATCTGATGAGGCCATCTTGAGTTTCACAAAAAAGTGGCACAGGACCGCAAAAACCGCAAGGTTCTATCTCCAAAGATAACTGAGATATCATGCAAAAGCATCGAAAACTGGACACACTGTACTTTTTCGAAGTGATATTCTTGACGACCATTCGCTCGCAAAGCGTATACGCTTGAAAACGTGCGATCGTGATGCGATCAGAGCATCCGGCACCACTGTAATAATTCACGAAAGTCATGAAATGATCCGTTGATTCACGTTCTGTGAATATGTGAAAATTCCGCGCGAATCAAATCAATCTAAAAATTATTCACAGGTGAAGTGTAAATGAATAATTTGATCAATAGGTACATAATATACTATTCTTCTTTAATATTATAGGCAGATTCATTTCTGGAAAAATAGAAAATTAGAATTTTAAAACTTCTACTATACCTACTCATCTCATTTTTGTTTTTGTTTTTTTTTTTCGAAGAACTTTTGGCCAATTTATTATAATTTATCGATCTATACGAAATTATAAGAGCAAGAAAGAAGTTATTTAAAACCTTTCTATAGTATAGTGTGTAGCAAAACCCCTAGCTCTCCATTTATTTGTCGTTCACTGTTGTAATAAATTAGTTAACTGTAAATGTTCGTCTGGTTTGTTTAGAACACCCTGTTATCCTGTATGCGCTATGGTACCAAAATTGCCAGTAAAGTTCATAGGTAAAAACACTGAGCTTTTTATATGCTATCCGACAATTCTCTTCACTTCTGAATCCAACCTATCCAGAGCGGATGAATGTGATATTATGTTATTGAACCAAAGTGGCCAACACGATTATTAAAACGGCTTTTGGTTTCCAAGGGAAATTATTTCAATACATACTTGAAATAAATCTCACCTGTGCCTGCGTTTTTGTAGGTAGGCAACGAAATAATATATTTCGTGTAAGTACTATTTCAGAACTGAGTTTTTGTAGTTATGCTACGAGGTGTGCCATTTTTGTCATACTGGGTGTTTTTGGAGCAAATAAATCCATTCGAATCAACTCAGTAAATCCGACCACACAAAGAGTTTCATTGCAAGTGATTACCCCTCCTCCCCATGGAATTACACTATGCGCCTGATATTAATATGTTTCCTGCGATTCTATAGCCCTTTCTCCAATGCTTTGAAACTTTTTTCCAGTTTTTGCTCCACTTATTTTCTCATCTCGTACAGTTCCTCCATACCAAATGCACTCACCTCCATCGATTTCATTTTCACGCAGAAATAAATTCTTCAGTAACAACGTAGTGAACTTCTAGTTTAAATATAGAACATCATAATATATCTAGAGCAGGTGTCAACATCAACCTACAAAATCACTGAATAGGAATACGAGTTTTAATCGAATTTGTGTAGCAGGTAGTTATCGATAACCATATTCAGTTCACAGCGCAGCAACAAATTTGTTTACAGTATGTCCTGGATGAGAACACACACAACACACAACGAGGAAAATTTGATTGAGAAATTTACAAAATAAATGTAGATGGTTGGTAGGTTCTTATTGCGTGCCACCTAGATCATCCGATTTTCCTCCTATCATTGAATTTCATGTTGAAAGTACGTGCATAGCCAAGATGATTTTAATATTGTAGTTTGTAACATTTCAAGTATGTTTATTCCTTTATATTACTCTTGAACCCACTCACTCCCTATATAATGTTTCAAATATCGCAGGTAGGGATACAGCTATATTATTTAGTAAAACATTACATTTGATGATTCATGTAATATATGTATGGATACATCCCGAACAACACGAGTACGTCCCAGGGACGTCCTTCATTTTCTACAAGGACGTCCCTGGGATATCCTGTGTCGGGACATGGTACATACTAGGGACGTCCCAGGGACATCCGCTTTCCACAAAAATAGGCATCCTAGGGATGTCCTTCTGGTACGTCCCTGGGATGTACTAAGTACGAAGAAAGGATATCCCTAGGACGTCCAAAGGATATCCCAGGGACATCCCTTCGACAAAAGAAAAAAATGTAGGTCGAGTATACGGATTGAACCCGGGACCTTTGGCTTATCAGGCACGCATCTTACTCCATTGGCTATTGAGCCTCCTGAAGATTTATGTACTAAACAGATTTATAAACAGGACTTAACTAAAGAAATCTGAATAAAAACAACTTTGGGTATAATTATTATATCATTCTTGGGTGTTTAAAAATGAGTGGCATTATGCATGTACGATTTTTGTTTGCGAAAAATGGTAATTTCTCAAGAAGTTTTGAGACTTTATTCTTCATTTTCATTACGATTATTTTCCGGAAGAAAAACAAACATTTTCAAAAAAATGCAACTTAATACTTTGATGAAATTCAATGACTCTGATGTGAATGGATATCAGATATTCCAGGGACACGAATAGGACAACCTAGGGATGTACCGGGCGGGATATCCACTGGACAACCACTGCGCGACATCCCCTGGATGCCCCAATGATGTCCTTGTACCGCGGTACAAAAAAGGGACGTACCTAGGACATCCCTGTGTTGTTAGGGATTAGTTCAAATAACTTTGTGCGATGTTACTCGGCAAACATTCAATCAATATTGAAATTTTCAATCATGGATATTTGAATAGTGCAGTAACATATACCGTCTAATCTTATCATTTGTAACATTGCCAAAACTCAAAAACAATTTTCCAAAGACAACCTTGTACAGGCAAGCTGAAAACAATGTAGCTGCAATGTTACGTAATGTTTCATGTTTCCAATAGCATATTTAACATGAAATCTCATGAACGAAGTAATTTTCAATGGAATTGTTTCTTATTTTTTCAGTGGGTTATGATCTTGGCGGTGTTTTGACGAGTAGCAAAAGAGACGGCGAACACAAGAAACAAAAAGAAGCTCACTGCCTTTACCCTGGTGATTTATATCCGTTCACGAGACGGCCACTCTTCGTCATAGTAGATTCGGATAACAGTTTCGTTTTTCAACATATTCCTAGGTATTTTGGCCAACCTCTGGTCACACTCATGTCGCCTCAAGACACACCGCCCGCCTTTCAAGGTAAATATGACATGAAAAAAAAATATCATCAAGAGATACGCAATACAAGTGCAATCATTTAATTCCATTTAGATTCTTGATCAAGTTAACTTCATTTTTCATATAGTGCGAATCACGACGCGTCTGAACTGCCATCCCAAAAAAACTTTTTCCACGAATATTTGTCTAGGAGTTACAACTGTAAATTAGGCAGAAGAAACTTTTTTTTCATATATATCCTAATTTACAGTTGCAACTGTAAATTAAAACAAGAGGATTTTTTGTTCTAAACATCTCCCAATTTACATTTGCAACTGTAAATTTGGCAGAAAGAACTGATTTTCTCAAAACACCTCCTAATTTACAGTTGCAACTGTAAATTAGGGTACACGGAAAAAAAGGAATTGTTAAATCAAGCAAAATGTAATTGAATGACACTTCGAATATTTGCACGACAAAAAATATAATCTTGAAATGATCAAATCTATATCTTGTTTCAGAGCGAATTCAAAGTTTGAATTAAGTAAATATGTCTCGCATTAACTCTGGATCTTATTCAACCAAGCACATCCATGAGCTGTTTATGGAGAGATATTGAATTGGCTCAAACAATCATTTTGTTCGATTCAGAATAACAAGATATTGATTCAATCAAATATTTAGTTGATCCAATGACATATTTGATGGGTCAATCAAAAAAATATTTGGTTGATTCAATGGATTATTTGATTGATTCATTGAAATATTTTGTTAATTCAGTGAAATATTTTGTTGATTCAATGAAAAATTTCGTTGAATCAAGGGAAACTGTATTTCTATTCGCCAAAAATTGTTTTGTTGAACCAAATCCAGTATTAATTCGGGAATTTTCTGAAGTTTCACATCTATAGAATAAACTGAACTAGGAAACTAGTCGATTTCTAGCATAGATCGCCAGTCTTTACTTCTCTTCAGCAAATGTAAAATTATTTCGGATTGCTAATCATCCTAAGTTGGTTTTATCCAGCTGATATTTCATACACGAAGAATCGATCTGGCTTCACGTATACAGTCTGTCCAAGATAAGGTTGAACAGCATGGGGATCTCGAAAACGGTAAGAGATACGAAATCGGTTAAACGGGGAAAAAGTTGCGCATTCGGAGGCTCATACCAAGAGCCTTCGAAAATTTTGAAAATTATTTTTAGTTTTTGAGTTATATCGAAAAAAGTGAATTTTTGGAATTTCTATTTTATTTTTTTTCTCCGTTATTATTAGAGATACAGCAAAACTGAGAATACTTTTTTATATCAACTTTTGATGACGGTCAACGTGGTGATACCGATTTTTTCATGCGACGTTTCGTATTCGTGGAACCATCATCAACTTTTGTTTTTTGAATACGGTCCTGATATTTTTTTCACAGATTCTAAAAGGCTTTTTTATTCTGAATTCAACCATGTATTATACAAGGTGGTTCATTTGTGTTTCGACCTATTTTTGGCCATCATCAATGTTTTTTCGAAACTCCAAAGGAAAAATGCCATCAGTTCCACTTATTTTGAAGGAAAATTAGTCAACACACTAATACCTCATCAACTGGTTTCAATCAACAACCCATTTCATTTTGCGGAAACAAAAATTCCATCCATACAAATTCAGAATATGTCAAGCGCTAAAACCAGGCGATGACGAAAGGCGCAAGACATTCTGTGAGTGGTATACCAGGAAATGTTAAAATTTTGCAGATTTCTTTCGAACAATCATCTGGACTGATGAAAGCATGGTCACTAATCATGGTAGCTTCGATAGAAAAAATACACATTATTGTTCACGAGAAAATAAACATTTATACATTACAGCGAGACACCAACACCGTTTCGGCTTTAATATGTGGGTTGCAATATTTGGTACACGAATTATTGTTCCTTCTATTTACCATGAACCACAGACTTCCGAACGTTATAGAAATTCGCTTGAGAATCATCTTGAGGAAGCTCTGGATGATTTACCGATTGCGGAAGTTCAGAACTCTGTTGGTTTCAACAAGATGGCGCTCCGGTACATAATTCCAGAGAAGTCCGTGCGTTTTTATCCCTTGGCCGGCGGGGTCGCCTGATTTGACACAGCTGGATTTTTTCTTAGGGGATATATCGAACTTTGTACACGCAAATAACTTTGAGGATGAAGAAGAACTAAGGGACAGTGTATTCGAAGCATTCAATAGAATAACCCCAGAAATGCTTAGCAATGTCTTAGAAACAACTGTGAGAAGAGGATATCTTTGTTCAGGAAATAATGGTTATCATTTTGAACATTTGTTATGAATGTCTCTGTAGGTATTGTCAAAGTTAAGTTGTTAAAGTAATTCGTGTAAGAATTCATCAACAATTTTAAACGCTGCATTGATCGAATGATGTAGTGAAATATTTTTCATTCACTTTTCAGTATTGAATAACTAATCCATCAAGTTTGACACTAAATGATAAGAAATAAGTGGAACTGATGGCTTTTTTTCTTTTGGAAGTTCGAAAAAACATTGATGATGGATAGAAATAGGTCGAAACACATTCGAATCACCTTGTATAGTACATTTTTGAATTCAGAATAAAAAAAACTTTCAGAATCTGTGAAAAAATTATCAGGACCGTATTCAAAAAACAAAAGTTGATGATGGTTCCACGAATACGAAACGTCGCATAAAAAAATCGGTATCACCACGTTAAACCTCATCAAAAGTTGCAATGAAAAAGTATTTTCAGTTTTTCTGTATCTCTGATAATAACGGAGAAAAAAATTAAAATAGTAATTCCAAAAATTCACTTTTTTCGATATAACTCAAAAACTAAAAATAATTTTCAAAATTTTCGAAGGCTCTTGATATGAGCGTCCAAATGCGCAACTTTTTCCCCATTTAAGCGACTTCGTATCTCCTACCGTTTCCGAGATCCCTATGCTGTTCAACCTTATCTTGGACAGACTGTATAATGAAAGTCTCCGACTTTCGAGGGTTGCTTTGCAACTAAGCTGGCGGTTAAAAACACTTTTAAACACTTTTTTTTTTTTTTTAAATTCGAGGCAGGCATAGATGAGGCGAAATAATCGCCATCTAGAGGCGAAAATTTGCCTGTAGAATGTAGAACATATTTTGTTGCTCTATTCAAGCAAACGAGTTCATTGCTACATCGGAATAAGGCAACTTGTATGGTGTTTCAAAGATATATTCTCATCATAATGATCATTATTTGATCAAATCAACACAATGTTTATAGTTAAATCAACATCGACATTATTTTGGATCGACATATAATTTGTTTTTGAGATAACCATATATTTTGTTGATGGAATTAATATTATACTGTTGATTCAATTAGACTACATTCTTGATTTGAACAAGCTGCTTAGATGGAATAATCATGTACCTATCTGCTTGATTCAACAAAAAATTGCTCAGTCCAACAAAAATAATTCGAGCATGAATAATTTGTTGATGCAACAAATCCTTTTTTCCGTGTATGAAAAAAAGTTTCTTCTGTCTAATTTACAGTTGCAAATGTAAACTAGGCAAATGTTCGTGAAAAAAAAGTTTTTCTACGATGGGAGTTCAGACACGTATTACGAATCAGTATTTATGATCGTTCAAAGAGTTCACGAGTGTTTTAGGGCAGTTGTTTTTCGGGTTTTACTATGAAAAATTCAAATTTTTCAACATTCAGTGAACAGATAGAAACAGTTACTTTTACGGAAAATAATGAACAAAGGAACCTATATTTCTTTTTCCATTCCGGACATTTTATCCAGTGGTGCCCTACAGGGGGTTGTGGTAACTTTTCCTCCCATATTTTCTACGCCACTGATTAAATTTCGATTATTTCTATATCCTCGAATTTATTGAACAGTTTTCGAGATATTCGACCCAAAATAGAAGATTGCATAGTTAGATTTCATCATTTTCAGTAGTAGAAAATTGCAAAAATATATTTCCGGTGTTGAGTAGATTAGATACTATTCAGATCTCATCCTGTAGCTGAACAGAAATAGTTATTCCACGCATAAAGAGAAAACAGACATTTTTGAAATTTTCTACTACTGAGGAAGATGAAAAATTACTATGCAAATTTCTATTTTCTACAAGCGTGCGTGATTCACCCTATACCCGCACGCAATTTAGTTTGGGAAGTGTCATTTTCCCGCAACAGTACGGAAAAATTTTCCCACACTAGTGCGGGAAATTTTTTCCCGCACTAGTGCGGGAAAACAAAGATATGATATAATCGCTAGTGATATAAGTGGTTGGTGATGGAATATAAAAGTTTAAGATTGTTCGTTGCAGTATTAAGCATGTATGTTCAGAATCATCCATCAAATTGCACTATTTATTGTAAAAATTAAGAAATATTGAGAAATAAAAATGGATTATTATAAAAATCCCCCTATAGATTTGGATTGATCTGACGGGAAACGTCAATTTGTCATGCCAATCAAACCTCAAATAAGTGACAGACACAGCGTTACTGTCATTTTCGATACAGATGCGTTAATATCACCAACGAAGTCTTAAGAAAGGTATGAGAAGCTATACACGCGTTTAATTGAATGGTGCAACAATAAAGAAATGAAAAAACCGAATGAAGAATAGGTATTTTTGGCTCATTCCATAGAAGTGTCTGGAACCTAGAGACCAAACTCCTAATGGGCCTGCTGGCTTCCGCAATGAACCAACATAATGCGTCAAACTGTAAGTTCACAATAGCTATTACTAATAATTAATAGATAGAGAATATATATCTCTTGTTAGTTGTTCCTATTTGCTTGAATAATTAATTGAACGATTCAATCAATTTCCTACGCTTGTAGAAAAAATATTGTTCCTAACTCATGCACAAAGTGTCTTTCCCGCACTCGACTGCTTGCCCGAACTCCGCTTCGCGTCGTTCGTGTCAACGGCAGTCACGTGCGGGAAAGAATCACTTTCCGCACTTGTTAGGAAAATTACTATTTTGGGTCAAATATCTCGATAACTGTTCATTTTTTTCGATTTAACCAAAGCTTTCGACTCCATTGACTTCGACATACTTGCTGCGATAAACTGTATACCATAGGTATTCGTGGAAAATTCCACGCTTGGATTATATCCTACATGAAATATAGGAAAATATTTGTTAAATGGCAGGATTCTAACTCAGAACTATTTGATATAGATATCGGTGTACCACAAAGGATCAGTGTTAGGACCTTTATTATTTTCACTATATATTAATGATCTCCCACAATATATAGGAGGTACATCAATCACATTATTTGCTGATGATACCTCAATCTCGGCTGAAGCCGACAGCCATGTGCAACTTCAGTCCAAACTAAACATAATAGGTGAAAGATTTACTGCTTGGTGTCAGAGTAATAGACTGATAGTTAATGCTGAGAAAACTGTGCTAATTCAGTTTTTTGGTAGAAAAGCTACGGATTCACCTATTTCTGTGAATATTAATAATATTACTGTACACCCTTCGGATACAACAAAGTTTTTAGGTGTATATATAGACACCGAATTGAAATGGAAACACCACATCAACTATGTATGTAAAAAAATAAATAGTAGTTTTTATGCTCTATTGCAGCTCAAAAAAGTTTTGGGTGTGAATATTCTTGTCGATGTTTATTATGCAATGGTGAACTCAGTACTTTCCTACAATGTTCTCCTGTGGGGTAATGGTACTACGATTGATCGGGCTTTCATTGGTCAAAAACGCATAATTCGACTTATATATGGTCTGAAATATACCGAATCATGTAGACCTATTTTCAAAAAACATAAAATTCTAACACTACCTTCTATATACATTTACCATTCTGTCATTTACGTGAAAAAACACGAATCCAAGTTCGAAACAAATGGAAATTCTCATACTTATCCTACAAGGAGCGGTAATTTACTGAGGTTGAGACAACACCGCACTCAGATTTTTCAAAAGTCACACCTCACAACTGGTCCGCGGTTCTTCAATTCCCTGCCCTCAGATATTAAGGAAATATCATCTCTCGTAAAATTCAAGAAAAAATTGAAGGATTATCTGCTGGACAGAAGTTTTTATTCTGTGAAGGAATTTTTGGAGACAAAAATCTGAAGTGAGGTGATTGTATCTGTATTTTTGTATTTGTATTTTTATTTTTAATGTGATTGTATTTCAAATGTTTACCTCCAATCATAGTTTTTGGATGTTTTGAATGTTAGACCCATTTTATCTTTATGTCAATATTTTAACTTTTATGTGTTTGTATATTCTCTTTATAATAATTTTATACAACTTTTTTTTTTGACGATTCCTATATCATTTTTTGTATGATCAATTCAAGGAATAAATACATTATTATTATTATTATTATTATTATTATTTTAGCTCAGTTGAGGTAATGCATTTTTTCAACATAATTGAACAATCAATTAGAGAAATTGGAAATGATCGAAATTTCGTTATTGGCGTAGAAAATATGGGAGGAAAAGTTATCAAAACTCCCTGTGGCGCACCTATCCCAACTAGCATTTATAGTCGCGATTACGTAATTACGACTATTGGGTCGACTATTAAGTAATATTTACTAGTTGCGGTTACGTTATAATTACGTCGTTACTACGTATTTACGACCAAAATGGGGAACAAATCACGAGTAATTATTACGGTTTGCCGACGTAGCGGGAACTCACACAATTACGTAATGCTTACGAACCGTCGACGTCGAAATTACGTAAAGATGTAGTAAATTTTCCTACCTGACTTTCTATTTCTTTTCCACTTCATAAAAATATTATTTTCTCTCTTTATTATTCTTCATTTCATCCATGAAGTTCACATTCACGAAAAATGAACAAGTCCAATATGCCTAACCATTCAATAAATAATACAAGGACAAACACGCGAAATAATTGATACTCGAACTTGAAAAATTCGAACAACATTCAGTTTTTCGATAAATGTGATGATTTTGCCTCGAAATTCAAGATGCGCCCACAAAATACGGCTCATTTCACCAAAAATATGGTTTTATTTCATTCGGCTATTTTTCAAAAATCATCGTAAATCATGTTAATTTCCATTATTATGCAATTTGTGATCGAACGAATGCTATTATTCTTCATAAAATGATGTTTATCAACAAGAAAAACCAAAATTATTTCCTGTTCAAATGGTTATCACATCAATCAATATGGCTTCCAATCGAAAATGAATCAGAAAGTTACTTTTGGAACTCGTCAGTTATGATAACCTATGTATTGGTAACTTCAACTGAATATAATTACCGAAAAGTTGTTTCAACTATGAAGGAATTGTTTGAGTAGGAATTACCAATATGTTACTTGAAATATCACCAAGAATTGACTAAATTATTAGGTGATCGATCAAGTAACGACAACGTCGTAGAAACCTAATTGGTGACCATAGAGTAATTGCAACTGTGAAGCCTTCTTGGGGTGGTAAGCGTTACCGTAATAATATATCCAAAGTTCCGAAACCTTAAGAGTAGTTTTGAGGAGTGACAGTTTCGAAATAGTTACTTCGTAATAAGCCATGAGAATTTCTCACTTTGAAGTTATTATCTAGTGTAAAAACTACGTAATTTTCACTCACTAAATAACTATCACTGACATTTATACTATGAAGTTCTGAAATAAGTGATAAATACGTTATTATCACTAAATATAGGTAATAGTTTCTTGAACCATGGTGCCTGTGACTGAAAATGCTAGTTGGGATGGATACAATTTTCAGAATGACTTCCTGGTCAAACAATGAACCATTGAAAGATTTTTATTTTTTATTTGTATATCGCTACTTCAAAGTTGGGAACCAACTCCCCAGAAGTCGAAACTTGTGCGGGGTCAGGAAGAGCGGGACCTACAGCTTATAGTGGAATCCGAACCACTTCTAGGGCATCGAGGTGCTGTCAGGATTACAACCATGAATCACACATTTTAAAGAAAAATGCTCAGCCGCTAGCCGGATTCGAACCGACAGTACCTCTGCATCGTGAACGGCTATCTAGCGAATTTCAGCGCATAGACAAACTCGGCCACGGAGCCCATCCAGATGAAACCATCTACCGAATTTGAATGCATTATATTCAATTTTTCTTGAAATATTGCGAAAAAACTACTTTAATTTCTTAACTTCAACGGCCTCTATCTCGAGAACTGAAGACTTGGAGACCGTATGTCCCTATCTCAGTGATTATGAAATCACGAGGGCTAACACCCTGTATATAGGCATTGAATAGTATGAAAATTTACAGGCATCGAAAATTTATGATTCACTATAATGTATTATGTTTTTCAGATCAACAGCACAATGGTTCTTTATTCACATTATTCCTCCATTCTCCATTGACGGCGTTTTGTTATTGTTGCAATTTGACAAGCATTCCTATACACCATTGGGAACGATGTCAGAGTTTTGTGGACCGATTCGTGACCGAAGCATCTCGTCTTTTTACAAGATCGAGAATTGGTAAGACATCATAATGTTTCGTGGGGATGGGAAAGAGTGTCAAAGTTATGAATTTGAAAATTTTCTTTTTCCTATAAAAAATTCAGACATTGTAATTTTTTGTTGAAAGAATCGTGTATACACATACAAGTTAGGCAATATTTTGCCTAGGTTCAAGAATTAAAATATCTGCCAAATTGCGTCGCCAGAACACTTTGTACAGACAAAAATTCCATCATTTATATCCTCTATTAGTGTAATGAAAAGAAATGCAGGACATAATACGTACAGTCATCTTCAGAAAACATGTCGCACATGGACGAACACGACATGATCTCTGAAGACGACTGCAACATACCTATACATTCCAAATTGAGACATGAAAGCCTTATCTCTCCTCCCAAACATAATACAGCTTTCTTTCGCTGGTCATTTACATTCAATGTCTACCTTCGCTACAATAATATCCCCTTCTCTCAAACAATTCGATAAAACCACTTTCAAATTTGAACATCATCAGCAATACCTCCTTGAACAAACTCTAGCTAAATATAGTTTAATATATAAAAATATTATTGGACATAGCCCTCAGGAAGAGTTAACCGCAGACAGGTGTTTCGGGCTTTCGGCCCTCATCAGTACGGTGAAAGAAGTGCAAAAGATAGGCAACACTTGGTGGAAGATGAAACAACAAATCGACGGAAGCTACAAAGAGAAGCCAGTCGCACAATTGTAGTTTCTTCTTCCACCAAGTGTTGCCTAATATATGTATCGATTTCTTTTATGTGTGTAAAAATAACTAGGGGCGGATTGTTTGGCGATAGGACCGAATATACCTCAATAAAATATTGCTGTGGAAAAAGATACAGAGGGCGGTAAAGTTGAATATTCATCTTCGTTTTTTGCCAATAATTTCACTGAATGTTGATAAATTGTCATCAAAATTGCCTGTCACCTTCAATTTTGGTGAGTCTGTTCCATATTACCTGTTCTGAACGTTGGAAAATACCACCAAATACGTTACCAGTTACTGAAGGATTAAATTACCATTTATTTTGAGTTATCATATGGTAATACCCAAATTGTACCATTTATGAGTTACAATAATCACCTTAAATATTCTGGAAACCAACGTGCACTGCGGTATTGCTTTATTACCTTGTCTATAAATAATATTACCATTTTTGCTATAAATTCTGTATAATAGGGGATGTACTGAAGAGTTGATATCAGACAGTCTCTAGTTTCGATATAAAACCATTGCTAATTGCTTGTTTTCCTTCAGATCAGTACAAATTTCTAATGAAATAGATATTTCTTGTTATTGAATCGATATTCACCCTATTTACATTGGCATGGCAAAATCTAGAGCTGACTTGTTTATTGATGATGACTCAGTGTGGTTTCTTTGCTAAAAAAAAATATGATTAGCTTTGTTGAAGAAACATTGACCCATCAATAAATGTTTCTCAGAAGTTATTCATTACAATAAAGAAAAAAAGAAAAAAAAAACGTACCCACCCCATTGTCCCGCTGAACTACCATCAGTGTTTGGTTTCTACAGTCTCAAACTAGGCATTTTAAACAATATATTTTGTAGCAGAACTTTTTAAGGTTTAAAATACCAAGTAAATCTCAGGCAAGTAAACAGCCAACTCAGGGGTAGAATCTTTACTGAATTTTATCATTCATTACCCCCTGAAATTTGCAACGTTATTATTTTATGTATTATTCCACAGTTTTTTACAGTGGGCACTCGACTGATAATTTTTTTGACGAAACTTTTTATAAGAAAATATGACATAAACATCATGTATACGTATGATTGGTACTGTTGTTTGAAAATTATATTTTCATACGAAAAATACAATTGAACAGTTCATAGTCTCGGAAGGGGATTTCAAATTTTATTTCATTCATGAAGAGTGTGCTTTCGACTGTCAGATACTTGTTGCTGGTGAATTAAATTTCTTGTCAGTGAATGAATTTTGATGCGAGTTTATAGTCAATACTTTTTCGATTGAAACGCCCTGTATCTTTTTCCACAACAATATTTCATTGAGGCATATTCGATCCTATATCGCTATATTTTGGTCCAAACAATCCACCCTTAGCCTATGTGCCAATAGTTATTACCTACTCATCCTGTATGAGTATTAATGTTTATACAAATTTTGTAACTATAATAATTATATTGAATCATCCTGATTTAGAATTGTATTTTTTCTCGATACTACTACTAAGATCTGCACGTTATAGAGCTATGTTTTAAGTGGCCTTTTCTGTAGTTCCATGAAGGATTGTCGTTTCATTAGCTGTATCATTTTTTCTTCTCTACTTCGAACTGCAAATACATCATCATCAATATCATTATTATTCCAGAACCGTCGTACCTGCAATTTTTCGGAGACGACTTCCTGCGCCTGCTCCTCCTACGCTACGCCTTCTGCGACGTCGTCCTCCGCCTCCACACCGCCTTCAAAGGCCGCCAATACCGTCCGAGGTGCCAGCCACCCCTACCCGAGGCCGAGCTGCTCGACCACCCCTCGTTGCACCACCTGGTGCTCGACCTTGCCTCCCACTTGGAGGTTCGCGCCTGCTTCCTCGAAGGAGGTCCCCACCAGGAGGCCGAATGATCCAGGCCTGCCTCCTCGGGGGCACTCAGGGGAGGCCTCCTCCTGCAGGCGCTGGCGGTGCTCGTTTTCGCCGCAGCGTTGGCGATCGAAGGCCCTGGGGCGATATTCTTAGAGGTTTTGCGGTTTTTTTGGACTTTATCTAAAGTGAGAGAACGAGGTCCCGGTGCTGGTCCGAAACACCACCTAATGGTCGACCTAGCAGCCCACTTGGAGGTGCGTGCCTGTTTCCTCGAAGGAGGTCCCCACCAGGAGGCCGAATGATCCAGGCCTGCCTCCTCAGGGGCACTCAGGGGAGGCCTCCTCCTGCAGGCGCTGGCGGTGCTCGTTTTCGCCGCAGCGTTGGCTGTCGAAGGTCCTGGGGCGATCTTTCTCGAGGTTTTGCGATATTTTTGGACTCTATCCGGACTGAGATGTCGAGGTCCCAGTGCTGGTCCGAAGCACCACCTAATGCTCGACTTAGCCAACCACCTGGAAGTGCGCGCATGTTTCCTCGAAGGAGGTCCCCACCAGGAGGCCAAATGATCCAGGCCTGCCTCCTCGGGGGCACTCAGGGGAGGTCTTCTCCTGCAGGCGCTGGCGGTGCTCGTTTTCGCCGCAGCGTTGGCGATCGAAGGTCCTGGAGCGATCGTTCTAGAAGTTTTGCGGTTTTTTTGGACTTTATCTAAACTGAGAGAACGAGGTCCCGGTGCTGGTCCGAAACACCACCTAATGGTCGACCTAGCTGCTTACTTGGAGGTGCGTGCCTGCTTCTTCGAAGTGGAGGCCGAATGATCCAGGCCTGCCTCCTCGGAAGCACTCAGGGGAGGCCTCCTGCAGACGCTAGCGATGCTTGTTTTCGCCGCTGCGTTGGCTGTCGAAGGTCCTGGGGCGATCTTTCTCGAGGTTTTGCGATATTTTTGGACTCTATCCGGACTGAGATGTCGAGGTCCCAGTGCTGGTCCGAAGCACCACCTAATGCTCGACTTAGCCAACCACCTGGAAGTGCGCGCCTGTTTCCTCGAAGGAGGTCCCCACCAGGAGGCCAAATGATCCAGGCCTGCCTCCTTGGGGACACTCAGGGGAGGCCTTCTCCTGCAGGCGCTGGCGGTGCTCGTTTTCGCCGCAGCGTTGGCGATCGAAGGTCCTGGGGCGATATTCCTAGAAGTTTTGCGGTTTTTTTGGACTTTATCTGAACTGAGAGAACGAGGTCCCGGTGCTGGTCCGAAACACCACCTAATGGTCGACCTAGCTGCCCACTTGGAGGTGCGTGCCTGCTTCTTCGAAGTGGAGGCCGAATGATCCAGGCCTGCCTCCTCGGGAGCACTCAGGGGAGGCCTCCTTCTGCAGACGCTGGCGATGCTTGTTTTCGCCGCAGCGTTGGCGATCGAAGGTCCTGGGGCGATCGTTCTAGAGGTTTTGCGATTTTTTTGGACTTTATCCGGACTGATGTGTCGAGGTCCCGGTGCTGGTCCGAAACACCACCTCATGCTTGACTTAGCCAACCACCTGAGAGTGCGCGACTGTTTCCTCGAAGGTGGCCCCCACCAGAAGGCCGAATGATCCAGGCCTGCCTTCTCGGGGACACTCAGGGGAGACCTTCTTCTGCAGACGCTGGCGGTGCTTCCTAGAGGTTTTGCGACTTTATCCGGACTGAGAAGGCGATTGGTGGAACCGTTATCAAATTACGAGGTCATGGTGACCTATTGGACTCGGTGTAGGAACGCGAAAGTTTCTACTGCGTCTTTGCTGATATAGCTCACATGCTGCTGCACTACGTCTTTCATTAGATATTCCGTTTTCTGTGCGGTGTTCACATAGTGGAATAGACCATTCAGTTGCATCGGCTTTTTTAGTGAGAGAGGTGAGCAGCAGGACTTTTTTTTCGTTTCTTCTTTGTAGTGGCGGATCCAGGGATAAAGGGGGTAATTACTTCCCCAAAGCCTCGTCGAAATATTGATAGTCACCATCTGTGTTATTACATATGTCTATTGGAAATATACCTATTCGTATTTCACTTTTTAAATTCATCGCCCCCCTTCCCTAACCAGTACCCTGGGTCCGCCACTGCCTCTTTGTGCGGTGTTCCGTATCGCAAGAATTCTTTTGAGACAACTAAAAGGATCGGTGGGTATGAAGCATGCGCACTATTTCAATGTACAGGCTGAAGGCTATCAGAGACACAATGATCCTGTAGAGTTTTCTACGTTTTTTTCTCAGTAGTTATATTCAAGAAAATTTCTACTGACTTGAAATAATATGGAACGATGGAACATTATAATACAATTAGTAGAAATCCTGTCAGGTTTATGTACAGTGTATTCATCTCAAGGGCATTACCATATATCGGTCAAAACTCTTTTTTTTATCGATATATATCTTGATTTGTTTCCTTATCCACATTCAACAAGTAGGTGGCGTTTGTGGGCTCTAGTAGTGGTAAAATATTATTTTTCTCAACCCTCTGTATTTCACATTGATATAAATCGGAACAGATATGTTTGAACTAAACCTCAATGAGAATTGAGAAATCGTCGTTTGTTCTTCCAAAATCAAAAATTAGCACTTCTTTTGGCAGAATTGTAATAAATATATGTGATCAATTTTCTTAAACACATTTATCTATGAATGATGAGAATGTGTGTTTCAAGTGATCCTTACTGAGATTCCGTCCTTAGTTTCAGCGTTCATTGAGGTACCTATTAAAGCAATACCTCAATCAACGGTTTCAGTGAAATGAAATCGCTTTTTGAAATCTGAGTCCATAAAAGAGGTCGTAGTTGCCCTCGACCACAGTCCAAAAATTGAGTCACCTACTTGTTGGAGTATGCATTTTGCCAATCAACCAACCATGATCGATAAAGAATGCAGTTTTCACAGTGGTATTTAATCCTCGAAATGGACACACTGTAGGCACAAGGCAAGGTTGGTAGGAACGATGATTATTTGTACAAATAATCCACAATTCTTTCAACCTTGATACAAGAAGTCTATGAAATTTCCTGCTGAATGGGAATTCAAGATGAAACTATTCAAAGATAGTTTTCTTTCAGATATCTCCCAAACAGTTTTGTCAGGAAAAATATAGTACTTATGACACACTCCTCCACTTTTTCTATTTCCTCGCGGTACCTTTATTACCACCTACCACAGAGTAAACGTCATAAAACGTCACGATATTATATAAGCTTCACGAACGTTGTGAACGGCTGGAAGTGTCACATGAGCGAAATAGAGAAGTGGTGGAGTGGGGGTAAGCCCACATGCCGCAATACCCATTGCCCTATGCAGCTTATTTCGACTCAAATGAATTCTTCCTCGTTTCCTCAATAAGATTCATCTCATCTTGTGAACATCTTGGTTTTTGTAGCAATATACATCCGTTTGGACAGTACTCAATATACTGTAAGAGATACGTACATTCTTATCATCGCCACGTCTATCATTGGCATCTGTCGTACTTTATCATTATTCGCGGTATTCAAGGTCATTATCCGACGTGGTGATGACGTTGAAACTGAGGGAAAACCTATCTAGCTCCTGGCATAAATGGAAAGTTAGAAGTGTTTTCCCCAGTTTCAACGTCACCGCAACGACAGATGGTGACCTTGAAAACCGCGAAATAAACCAACGGTGATCACAAAGCTTTTTCGTTGCGTTTTTACGGTTAACAGGAACGTTATAAATCACATCAAATTGTATGCATGAAAAAATTATAAAATGCGCCATAATCCTCACTAGGAAATATATTGTGCTATGAACTCTTGGCGAAGTGATAAACTGAAATGAGGTGTTGCTGTTAGTAGTACGTCTATACCGAGTCAACGGCTGTCATCTTGAGTCAGTATCGTCATAGGTGTACTACTGCTGAAATCATTTTTTCTTTCGAGAAAACACTTGAAGCTCAATAAATTTCGAGTAGCTGTGGAAATGAAGCACCATCCTTCTATTCAGTCAAGAATTTTGAGCACATATTTGGAAGTCACAAGCAAAGTTGAAGTTGTAAAATTAATTCCGTTCGGATCATGAGTGATAGGTTCTGTATATATTCTATATCAAAGTTGAATTACCTAATATTATCATGCTACTGCTTATCATGAAAAAGTATTAGGGAAAAACAGACTTTTCTAATGCATTAAATCGACGACCTTATTTAAAATCGCAATTGCACAGCCGTATGTGCATTGCTTGAATTTTTTGTTGTAGAAATGTTGAACTGGAAATTGTTACCAAGGTCAAAATAGGAATGGGAGAGCCCCAATATTTTCTGGAATGTTATCGAAACAGAACAAGATAACATGATTTTTATTGTTACATAGGTACTACTATTTACCGTATTTTACCTTCATTCCTTCATATAAAATATCTAGATAGACAATTTCAACTTACACAGCATTACACAGCTTATTTTTGCAATTAATTACCTATTGTTAAATAATGATGGAAGGAAATGATTATATATTTTTTCTTTTGAAAAAACTTCAATAAATTAACGATGCTAAAACATTGTCGAATGCTATTATACGCTCAAGTTTTTTGGTGCGAATAATTATGTCTTTCAAATGGTTCATAACCCACAAATTAATTTGAAAACATCAGATAAATGCTATACACAATACACATTGATAGTTAAGTCACAATGAAATCTTGATCTGTCACACTGCATTTATGGAAAATAGGTATACCTACCTATGAAAGATAAATATGCCTTGAAATTATACCTATAGATACTCGGTTTTTACATGAGAAATAGTACAGATTCAAATAATATAATCCGTTATGAGTTCGTAATGAACATTCATAAAATTGAGATTAATCCGTTACTAAATCGAATGTGATATCAAATATCACTTGATTTTTTTTATAGATGCACACTTGTTTCACGTTCTTAGTGGAACATATTTTTAACATTCTCTATGATTTATTGATGTAATTTCCGTTCTCAAATTTGTTGTATATATTTTCATGTAACATTTTAAGCAAAATAAATTGCAACTTGTAATAAATTATAAATACACATTATCGATTCAATTCAAAGATTACAAGTTTCACGAATTACACCATGTGTTTTATTTTTTATTTGTAAATGTCATATATTCTAACTACTCGAGAATCTCATTCAACATCCAAATTGCCTGAAAACGCTTTTGGGCAAGGCGCAGAAGTATACAATAGTTATTTATTATACAAGGGAAAAAAGTAATAGATTTCAGCTCGAAGTTGCGTTGTCGGAGGGAGACAAAAAACCGTGAGCTAAAATCTAATATTTTTCAGAAAATTGTCCATGTGGAATTTGAAGTTTTCAACAGGTGTACTACCTGTGTTGCAAGCATCTTCTTGTAGGCATCTTTGCTTATTTTTTAATGTACAATCACCTCCAGA